TGTCCAGGTGGTTGAACAGGCCTTGCACACGCTAAGAGCGTGCTCACTGGCAACTCCAGCACGCATGTTCAGCTCTGCTTGTTTCTCTGGCCTGAATTTCTGCATTTATCAGTGAACAGCAGGTTTTGCTCTTTCCCGTGTTTCCAGACTTCACCTGAATGTTCTTTGCTTTTCTCCAGTTAACACTGGGCTTTTGGGAGCCACCAGTGTGGGAAGTGTAGCTGTTCCGGTAATTTTCTCTGCTCTGTGTTTACTTTTCACAATTTATCCTCTGGATCTAGAATTTACGCTATTTCCACATTTCGGCTGTTATGAACTAGGCTTCAGTGCAATTTTTGTGCAGTTATCTTGTGCAAATACTCAGGGGGTTTCTCTCAGGCTTAACCTGTGTCAGGGAGCCACCAGGACAGAGGGAGGAGGAGGTTCTTCTCAAGGACAGAGGGAGGAGGAAGCTCTTTTCCAGGACAGAGGGTAGAGGACGCTATTCTCCAGGACATAGGATGGAAGGCAGCTTCTCTAGAACAGAGGGTGGAGGGAATCTCATTGTGTGGCATCCTGAATGATCATGATGTAAAACCTGAATACCATTGTAACCAAATATTATGAGAAAACTCAGCTGGAGAGAGTGAGGGGTGAAGCCGGTGTAAAGTACCACCGCCCAGGAGACTGGATTCTGACCCTCTACAGTAGTCGTCAGTATGATAGCGTCTAAACTGGGATGCATGAAATTAGAAAGCTTCCTCGTTTTAGTAAAGGAGACAGTAAACCGAAGACACAGCCTACACAATGTGGGGGATCCTTGCTAACTATATGTCTAGTAGAGGGTTAATACCTAGAATATATAAAGAACACAAAAACTAGATACCAAGACATCAAACAACCCAGTCAATAAGAGGGCTAATGGAACAGCGACAATTCTCAAAAGATGAAGTGCCAATGGCCAATAAATATCATAAAAATGTTCACTGTCGCTAGTCATCAGGGCAATGCAAATTAAAACTACACTGAGACCATGTCTCACCCCAGCAGAGTGGTAGTCATGAAGAAAATAAATAGCAGATGCTGATGAGGATGTGAGGAAAGGGGAACTACATTTACACACTGCTTGTAGGAGTGTAAATTAATCCAGACACTATGGAACTCAGAATGGAGGTTCCTAAAAACACATCTGTCATGCGACCCAGCTGTCCTACTCCTGTTTGAAGACTCCAAATCATCACATCACAGAGACTTTGCATGTCAGTATTGCAGCTCTGTTCACAATAGCTAAGTTACGGGATCAACATAGTTCTCCATCAACAGAGGAATTTATAAAGAAAGTGTATTTTACACAGTGAATTCAGTCATAAGGAAGAAAGAAATCGTCATTTGTAGGAAAATGGATGCAACCAAAGATTATTAAGCTAAGTCAGACTCAGAGAGACAAATGCCACGTTTCTCTGTTATTTGTGGGTCCCAGGTTTTGTGTGGCTGCATTTATAGATAGACATGACCAGAAGGTAGAAGGAAGGGTAATGAAGGGGGCTAATGGGAGAGGAAGGAGTGGGGAGAGAAGGGGTTAGGGTTCAGGGCATGGGGAACATGGTCAAAATACATTACCCGCTCACAGAGGGAAGAGGGGCTCTCACCTGAGGACTTTCTTCTATCAGACTGGCTTATGTACATGTCTGTGAGGCATTTTTTTGATTGTTGAGGCATGTGGGAGGGCCCAACCCACGGTGGATAGTACCGCTCCTGGGCAGATGGTCCAGGGTTGTACAAGAAAGCGGGCTGAGCACAGGCCAGCGGAGCAAGCCAGTAGGCAGCATTCCTCTGTGGTCTCTGCCTCCAGCTTCCTGCCCTGAGCTCCCTCAGTGATGGACTGTGACCTGGGAACTGTAAGATGCAATGAGTCCTCCCCAAGTTGCTTTTGCTCTGTGTTTCATCACAGAAAGAGAAAATTAGAACGTATACTTAAATGCATTGTCCTTATGAAACCCAGTCCCATGTGCAATGAATATGTTCAGTAAAAAGCAAAACTGAAAAGATGCAATAATGCAGAGACGGTTTTGAAAATATCCCGTTGTGCGTGGTAGACACAGGACAGGGAGACTGGAATCCTTCCTTCCAGGAGCTGGGAGGGGGAGGCGGGAACAGGTGCTTCCTATTGCAAGCCTTGTCATTTTGTTTGACTTGATTTTTTCCTCAATCCTGTGAACAATTTAGGAGCAATGAGGCCATCCATCCACACGGCCCTCGGCAGCCGGGAAGCTCCCAGCCCACCTCTCAGCCGGCCCACCCCCACCGAGAGAGCAGGAAACAGCGTTTCCCCCACAAAGAAGCTTGGGGCACCTGCCACTCCCCACTGCCGCCGGAGCCCAAGAACAGTGGATTCCCGGTGTCCCCACGAGCTGTGTGGGCCCTGATGAGGTACTGGGATGGGGTTCCGCACTGTGTTCATTCCCATGCCTGTTGCTACAGCCAGCAGTGTCTGTCGTTAAAGTACCGAGCCAGCTCTGGGTGACGTCCGTCCCTCCACTAAGTCTTGGCTGTTGGATGGGAGATTTTCAGGTGGACCAGAAGTTAGGTTGACGTGACTGTGAACATCTTGAGGGCAGGACCTTTTCCTGTGATGTTTTTAGTTCCTGATGCAGTCACTGGCCAGTACTTGCTTAAATATTTGTGTTATAATAAATAAGTGGGCAGTAAGAAGGTATTGGAACCAACCGTAGATAAAAGTATTTTCAGTAATATTAGCAATGAAGGAACGAGAGAAAAGATGCCAACTTGAAGAGTGTTTGGCTTTCGTTTGCGTTTTTATCTTAAATTTCTTGTGTGTGTAGCTGAACTTTACAGAGGGGAGGTGGAAGATACTGGGGCAGAGAGGGTAAATGTGCAGACCGGTGCTACATTGGAGTCCTCTGCTTAATAACCGCCTGTCCAAGGAGGGAATCTGGTTTACCGTGTCTGCCCATTTCCGTGTGTTCTCGTTTGCTTTCTGTTGCCTCCCTGCTGTGTGCTAGGAGGCGGGCATGCATGTCCCACGCGCTACCTCATGCGTATTATGACATCTGCTGAGGGTCAGCATTATGCTCCCCCTGACTTTGAGAAAACTGGGGTTCTTAGAGGTTCACAAACATTGCCCAAGTATACACGATTAGCATTGTGGAACCAGGCTGTGCCATCACACCTGCCCCTTGCCAGGCTCTGAAGTCCAGAGTTCCAGGGAGCACTTAGCACCACAGTGGAGGCCAGCTCTCACAGCAGCCTGTGTGATCCTGGCTTCCCTCCTGAATCCTCTGCAGGTGGAAAGATTCAAGCTATCATCCTTGGGTCCACAAATGAGAATCTGCTTGGAGCATTGGTGGTGATGTGTGGAGCGGGGCTAGCATACTGCTGTTAATGCAGCCGGCTAGGGCTTTTTCTAGGTTACTCCCTGTTTTTCCAGACTAGGCAGATTCTTACCCAGTCAGCCTGCTTGTAAGCAAGGACCATTTCCCCCGCTGGGAAGGAAAGCTGTGATGTCTTTGAGTGTAAATTTACTTGTTATTAAAATAGGGTTTGAAAACACTGGTTATGCTTTTGTCAGATGTGGCCCTGTAAAGCGGTGTAAGTTCAGAGAGGCAATGTGTCCTACTTAAGAGATTTTGCAGGCAGAACATTAAATCACTGCTCCTTCTCTGCCTGATTCCAGACAGGTCGTTTTTATTCCTGTGAACCTAAAAGTAGCACACCATTCCCAGTTGGCTGTTGGGACCAAGAGCCCTGGTACTGGTCATCAAGAGCATGGAAGCTGACGCCTGGCATCCCATGACCTCTTGTGTGCTGTGTGCCCTCCCCACCCCACCTGCATTCTGCTAGGTCTTGTCCTAGTTAGCTTTAGCTGTCAACTTGACACAGCCTAGAGGCACCTGAGAGCCTCAACCTGAGGGATTGCTCAGATCAGACTGGTTGTGGGCATGTCTGTGGGGAATAGTTTCAGTTGTTAGTTGATATAGGAGGTCCCAGTACGCTGTGGGTGGTACCATTCCCTAGGCAGGTGGTCCTGGGCTCATAAAGAAAGGGATGGATTTTGTGTAAAAATGTAAGGATGGCTTATACATTTAAAAATTAAAGATCATAGCTGGACATGGTGGTGTACTGGCCATTAATATTTAATTTTGCTTTTTTTCCTTTGTTTGTTTGTTTTGTTTTTTGAGGCAGTTTCTCCCTGTAGCCCCAGCTGGCCTGGAACTCATTATGTAGACCAGGTTGGTCTTAAACTCACAGAGATCTGCCTGCCTTTGCCTCCTTGCTGGGATTAAAGGCATGCACTATCATGCCCAGCAATGATTTTCTTATGAGTAGAAAGTATAATGTAAAATCCAGGGCTGAGGACACACGCCGTGGAATCAGAACACAGTTCACCAGTAGAACTCTTTACTGAATGACTAAATGTGAAATGCTTTGAATGTTAACAAACCCCCACTGTCTAAAAGACATCCAACTCACGAGCACATGGACATACCTTCCCTTTCCTGTTAGGAAGCTCAGTGGATTTTTAAAAGATACTTTATTAATTTTATTTTTTGTGTATGAGTGTATATACTGCCTTCATGTGTGTAAGTGCACTGGTGTCATTAAATGCATGCAGAGGTCAGAAGAGGGCAATGGATTCCCTGGATTTAGAGTTACAGATGGTTGTTAGTCGCCATGTGGGTGCTGGGAACGGAACCCAGTCCTCTGCTGGAGCAGTCAGTGCTCTTGACCCCTGAGCCATTTCTCCAGCCTGGAAGCTCAGTGGATGTTAAGTAGAATTACACCTTTGTTCCTCATGTGTGTTCAGTTTCATACACAGATGACAGTGACCACAGCAGGTCTTGAGCTCAATGGACCCTGATTCGCGTCCGCTTTTCCCTGCCCGGTGGAGGAGTTCTTTCAGCATGACGGAGCAGTCAGTGCTCTTGACCCCTGAGCCATTTCACCAGCCTAGAAGCTCAGTGGATGTTAAGTAGAATTACACCTTCGTTCCTCATGTGTGTTCAGTTTCATACACAGATGACAGTGACCACAGCAGGTCTTGAGCTCAATGGACCCTGATTCGCGTCCGCTTTTCCCTGCCCGGTGGAGGAGTTCTTTCAGCATGATCTCCCCTCCCCCCTGCTTTTTTGGCCAGCATTATTTTCAATGCTGAGCACAAGGCATTAACACCATTGACCAAATCAACTGAAGTAAGTTATTATCAAGCAACCTTAAACCTTTGTCTGCCCAGGGTGTTCACAGTTGGGCACAGTTTTAACTGATACGGTTTTCTGATCTTGGTCCTGTAAGTACCCCAAGCTTCTTCGTGTCTTGTCGGTTTCTTTTTGGTGTTGTGAATCACCTTGGCCTTTGCTAGAATCTGCCCTTGTTGGTGACGGTGCTAGAGGTGGGCCTGTGAGTGCTTGGGCTCTAGAGAGGGGCAGCAGGCCGCTACTCTAGGATGGCAGAGAACTGAGAAATTTATCTTTACTGATTTTTTTTTTTTTCTCTTTGAGATGTCTCCCCATTATAGCGAAGGTAGCCTAAAACTCTCTACAAAGCCCAGGCTGGCCTTGACCTGCTTTTCTTCTGTAAATATAGAAGGTGAAGAGATTTTTTTCCCTTCTCCTGCCCATGGGTTGTGATGTTCTCTTTGACCCCACCCAGAGTGTGTGGTAAAGCCAGAGGCACCTCAGTAAGTCACACCCCACCCCTTGAGCCGACTGAATTCCTTGTTCATCTCGGACTGAGCACAGCACAGGCCTGGATCATTTCAACAGAATGTTCACTGGCTTCGCTGAGGACTTAGCACTAAAGTCTGTCCAAATGCAGCTCATTCTAAGGAGGTAAAATTCCTCTTAACTTGTGGGAGCGCTTGGTGTGTTAGGAGCAGCTGGCAGCCGGGGAGTTCCTTCTGCCTCGTCCTGCTCAGGCACCGATTCTTGGCAGTCTCTGTCCCCTGTGAATTTCAGTCAGGGGCTGATCAGTTTTTTCCCTTCTCTGCATAGAGCAGTCAAGCTAGGAGTCTGCTTCCAAGTGGAGACATGGGGGCATGTGTTGAAGGAGAGAGCCACCCGGGTGCAGGCATTTCTGGTTGGCACACAGTCCTGTCGCCATCACAACAGGCTCTTGGAAGATGATCTTGCGTGTTCTGCTTTTCTGTCAGCTCTACAGACACCATCTGGAATATCCAGCGTTTGACGCATGTGGTTCAGAGGGTGCAGCTGTGCCTTCAAGGCCACCAGCCAGCCCGTCCTCTGCAGAGCGTGGCAAGCGCTCTTAGGGCGTTGCTGGCAATTTGCTGTGATTTCTTTGCTCTTTTAGCTCGCCCTGCTGTGATCCAGCTTATTGTTTTTCTTTTTCCCTGTGGCCTGACTGTAATGAAGTATCGGTTCATGGAATGCTACAAACACTCAGGGAATGTATATGTATTCTTTCACGAGAATATTATTTCATGCCAGGTTGCTGTGCTTTCAGATGATTTTGCGGGATGTGTAGCCTGTGGCTGTAACAATTGGCTGGTACGTGTTTTGATCAGTTACTGTGTACTATATAATACATTCAATATGGTTGAATCTTATCACCACACACAGCTTGAAAGGAATTTAACAAAAATCCATGAAGAGTTTGAAAGGTTATTCTGCTTATTAGAAGGAAAAGAGATGTGTAAATGAAAAGGATTTGAAAATTCTCTCATAATTGGAAGTGAGCCACGTAGCTGTGACTTTCAACATGGCCAACGTGATGGGCACTTGCTGCTGGCTGGCATCAAGTGCAAGGGTTGCTGAAGCTTGCAGCCTTAAACCGTTCCAAACCCACTAGGTCGGTGATGTACACAAGCAGGGCTCAAAGCAGCGTACCAAGTTGTAAGTTTCTGGCTTGCAGGTTTCTGAGAGGTTGCAGGTGACTTCCGCTGTGTCCTCCTGTGCAAAGTACTGTGATCCTGGTACTGTCCCTTGGAGTCAGGATGGAAAGCTAGTGAGTTAATATGAAGAAGAAGAGCTTAGAATAGCTTTTAATTATGACTTTTCAAAGTGTTAAGATTTACTCACGTGCGTGCGTGTGGGCCCCAAGGGCAGCATGAGAAAAGATTCAGTGTTTGGGAAATGTTTCTCTTTATAATCATGTTTTCTTTACTGTATTTATGAAAGGAAGTTGGATCGTCTTGGCTTGACTTGTTTATAGTAGTTGGTAACTTTCTTTTTATGAGCTTACAATATTTTAGAAGAAAATAGAACGTGAAAGACAAACACTCGCATAGCAGCAGTGGCAAGTCCACCCATTTAGTGGGAGAGTGAAATGTCTGTGATTACACTTCATTCTTAGCTGAGGCATGCTGTCTTCATTGTAAATAGTTCCAACCCTTCTTGCTATTCTTAACTTCTGAGACTATTGACTGTTTTTTTTTTGTTTTTTTTTTTTAAATAAAA